CCCCCCCCCCCCCCCCAGTTCATATCTAGTTGGGAAACACCACCCTTAGGGGCTCACAGTCAACCCCCCAGTAACTAGGGCAGGAAGAGATTGGGATAACTGGGGTATGTGTAATACAGTGTCCCACATGATGCCATGGAGCAGGCACACAGATGTCCAAACGGCTCAGCATCCACCTGCAGTGCTGGTCCTGCAGGTCACGGCACAGAGGTGGCTCCACTGTGACCCATGGGAGATGTTACTCAGGTTCAGCACTGCAAAACTGCTAAAGCAAAACTGGTTTTGGCTGGGATAGAGCTAATTTCTTCTTCTTAGTAGCTAGAATAGTGCTGTGGTTTGGATTCAGTATGGGATCTGGTATGAGGAGAATGTTGATAATACACTGATGGTTTTAGTTATTGCTAAGAAATCAAGGACTTTTCAACAGGGGTAACAATTTTAAACTGTGAGGGTGGTGAGGCCCTGGCACAGGTTGCCCAGAGACGCTGCGGCTGCCCCCTCCCTGGAAGGGTTCAAGGCCAGGTTAGACGGGGCTTTGTGCAACCTGGGCTACTGGAAAGTGTCCCTGCCCATGGCAGGGGGGATGGACTAGATGATTGTTAATGTCCCTTCTAACCCAACCCATCCTGAGATTCCCATGTCCTGCTGGTACGCAGGTGCCCAAGAAACTGGGAAGAAGCACAGCCAGAACACAGGACCCAAACTGCCCAACGGAATAGTCCAGATCATATAATGTCAAGCTCAGCATACAAGCGAGGGTTGGCCGTGAAGCTCACTCTCTCGCTTCCAGGATTGTGGTTTTGGGTTTCTAGCTTCTCTGGGATCACTAGCCAGGAATGGGCTGGGCATCGGTCATTAGGTGGTGAGCAACTGCATTGTGTGTCACTCGGTTATTACTATTATCATTTTATTTCAAATATTAAACTGTTTTTATCTCAACCTACAAGTCTCCTGACCTTTACACCTCCAATTCTCTCACCCATCCCCTGGTTGGGAAGGGTGAGTGAGCAGCTGCATAGTGTTTGGCTGCCAGCCGGGTTTAAACCACAACAACAACCGTGGCAGAGTTAATCTGCAACGCAGGTAATCCTCCCAAAAGTGCTGACTGGGAGTAGCATGCCTTACAGGAACGTCCTGGCACCTCAGTGTGCTCCCTCTCACACTCCACAGCTACCTTCACACAGATTTATTTCATTGGCCACCCAGAAGAAGTCAGCATTTTAAAGGTTAAAGGCACCAGAGTCTGCAGTCTAGACAGTGCATCTGGTCACTGCAAGCCCAAGGAAACACCTCCTGAGCTCTGATCCTTCTCCTCACACCTAAGTTCCTGCTTAGAGAAGAACAACTTGATCCAGAAAAGCAACAATTCTTGGCTGTTTGTGTTTCTGAAGAGGGAAGAGGGATCCCAACACAGCAGATAGTTACCAGTGATGATGTGTGGTCAGGACAGTGGTCAGCTTCACGCCGTGCTTTTTGACTGCATCCAAAACCTGCAGACACAGGGCACAGCAAGGGCGTTACAACTCACATGAAATGACTTAACAGCACACCCAGTGCCTGGCGTAACCTGGACACAACTGCTCCAAGGTCTGAGTGCCAAACCAGCACCTCTGCAGAGAGCTCATCCCTCTCCAAATCGTAATTATAAAACAGGACACAAGGTCTCTGATCCAACTAGCCATGACTAAGCTTATTTTCTCTTTTCTGATCTACATCAAACGAAAGGCAAAAAACAAAATCAGGTCAATAACCCCTGAAGTCAGGGACAAGCTGCCTAAGCCAGCAGCACTCTGCCTGTGAAGCCCTGTCTGTACCTATGCATGGCCAGTATTTCTTGCCTTTCCCTGATGCCTGAGTCAGCATGTGACTAATTCTCTTGTGGATGTGGCAACCTGGAAGGATCTCCCAGGCCCGCAGCGGTGAGCGCCCTGCTCACATGGGCTGCAGACAGCATTACCTTCTGGGGCTGCACAGGATCAACTATTGCAGCCTCCTTGGTTTCCTCATCAATGAGGAGGTACATGTAGTTGTCTGTGAGGGCTGGCAGCAATTCCACCTTCATGTCGGCTTGTGTGACCGTCTTTGACTTCCTCTGCTCGTGCTCTGTGTGCAGGAAGACAGCTCGCAGCTGTGCTGGACCTGGGGACCCCAAAACAAACTTCAGGTTAGCCCAGTGAACGAGGGAGACAGAGAACAGCAAAGCCCCCAGCCCATGGCTCCAGAGACAGGAAGGTGTGGACAACCCAACCTGCGTCCAGAGGAAGAGGAGAGAGGCCACCACGGGACAAAGCCGTAGTGCCTGGCTGTGTCACCTGTGCCCCAGAGCTGCACCAAAGAGGGATGGGACACTTTGCTCCCTGAGATGTGCTCATGCAGGGAAAGCACTGTACCTTGATCGGAGAAAAGATTTCAAGGGGCAGGAAAAGAGAATGGAGAGGGAACAGCTGGACAAAGGTCAGCCTGAGATAGTGACTTTGGGAAAAAAAAAAAAAAAGCACAAAAGGCCATGTTACACCCAAAAGACAGAAAAGGATTTTTAAAAAAAGAGAGAGAGAAACACAGAAATACACACACTGCTACAAGAGAAATATCTGGCTCGTTACTTGGGGAAATCACATCCTGCTCATGCATGGAGAGAAGACAGGCTCTCTGTGAGGAAGGCAAGGCTCCCTGCCTGGCCAGGTACCAGGCACGCACTGCAGGCAGGCTTCTTGCTCATGGGCTATCTTGATGCAACAGCAGTAGTTTTCTATTTGCTTTTAGTTAAATGTTTAATCAGATCCAAGAATCAAATCTAATTCCAGATGCAAATAACCTGGCTCCACTGTTCAACTCACAGATATGCAGTTCTTAAAGAAACAATCAATCCCTAAGAGGCTCTGCCATTTAAAAAAAAAAAAAAAAAAGGGAAGCAAAGGGAACAAGGTCTTTCATCACTGGTGCCCTGCAGTTCAGATCTGGGTCCGTACACACGCAGGGAAGAAAGCATCAGTCTCTGCAAGTCAGAAATAAGCTGTCTGAAGGCCCAAGGCCCTCACACACCCCTGAAGGTGACTGCGTGGGTCTGAACTGTGCTGGCTCAGCCACTGTTTCATTTTGCACCACTGACTCTCTCCCTAAAGCTCCCGACGCTCAGGGCTTGGCCACCACCACCGGTGCCAAAGGGAGGGGTCACCATGCTCCTAATCAACCTGCCCCACTCTCCCAAAACAGGGCAGTCCTGCCCTGATAAGAGCCTGCTTGAGGGAGAAGAGGCCCCATGGACTGGCTGCAGCCAACACAGCCCCCCCGCAGCTCTGCAGACCCACAGGGCCAACCAGGCTGCAAAACCCAAGATCTAAGCTCTGACTGGGGCGTGCAGCTGCTGCCAACCCAGCCCTGGAAGGTCCCTCTGGTACAACTGTCCTGCCCAGAACTTCTACCTCCACCATCTCACTTGCTTATGAGGAAAGGGAAGTAAGGAGGGGAGATGGTAGTAAAATTAAACAGAATGCTGCAGAGAAAACCCCAAGGTACAACAGCATAGGCATGCACTGGGTATTTGGTGGTGAAGGCATGTAGCATCGAGAAACGCATCCATACCTGCCGAGTGTTCCTCTGGAACAGAAGAGTCCTTTCAAAAACAGAACAAAAAAAACCCCAAACACACCCTTACTATTCTGTGACAGGAGGAAAAAAAAACCTAGAAAAAAAAAATCAATTGCTCTTTAACTGCGGCCCTAACATGAAGCACTTCTGGATGCTATCAGTCACAAGAGCTACATATACTGTGTGTTTGTTTGCATGCTAGACACTAACTGGGGAAAAAAAAAAAAACAACAAACAAATGAAAACACAACCTTAACTTCAAGTCCAAGGAATTATTCACATATTTAAAATGCTTTCCTCCTATGAACCATTTCTAACCTTGGCTGTGATCCCAAACTCTCTTTGACTGTTTAATTCACAATTCTTGCAAAACAAACAAACAAGCTACACTGCATAAGGAAACATTTTCCAAAACATAGTTTAAACAAAGGAATGAGAAAATATCCATGAAGCATGAAACTCATTCTGAATCCCCATCTGCAGCTAAGCTGCACCTTTCCTGCCTGCCCACTCGGAGAGCAAACCAGAAGTGCTCTCACGCATGGGCCAGCGCTGCTCTTCGGGGAAGGGCGCACTTGGACCCATCCTGCTCCCACGTAACCCCTGCCCTGGCCCAGCACTGACACAGATCGTTTCAGGATGGCTCTAATGCATGCAGATCTGCTCCAAAATTAATGCCCCATGACTTCATTTGCACTCCACTTTGTAACGCATCCCTCCTGACTTCATGCCTGAAGCAGAGAGGACTGGGAAGAGCAGAACACCAGTGGCCTTTGAATCACACGCTGCGCTTTCTGGAACGGTTCATTAGTGCAGCTTGAATCGCCAAGAGGAAAGGGTTTGCAGACGAGAAGCATTAATGTTATCACACAAATGCATACATGCTGGAGACCGAAGGCAAGCAGGCAGCACCATGGTGTAAAAAAGTGGATTCCCTCAGAAAAGGGGTGCTTCATACCTTTCCTCCATAGCATTTGTTTTACTCTTTTTATTACAGAAAAGAGTGGAAAAATCTTATTTCAAACATGGCTGTCACTCAAAAACCACTGCACGCACATACCCAGATGAACATCCCTGTGTTACCTCCTAAGAAGCAACACTACATTCACTTTTTACATACTCTGCACGCAAGATATTTTTTGGATACCTATCAAGTTTGTGGCTCTACACAATACCAAGTCCACAAATCCAGGGCAACTCCCACTCGACTTGCCCGCCTGGCCCACACTGCCGGCAGCACAGCCAGCTCCAGTCAGCACGGGCAAGGCACCCACCCGCTGGTGGAGCAAAACCTGTGTGGAAGGGGCAGCACCCACCCTGCAACCTGGGGAACTTTGGAGCTGCCAGTTTCTCAGTTTGCCAGTTCTCAAGATAGCATCAGGGTTTCCAAGTCTGGCAGTTAAGGTCAATGGATTCTAACTCATTAGGGCCAGGTCTTAGAACTGGAGTGATGCAATAGGCCTCTGACAAGGCTTCCCAGAGACACTGCGAAGCTAAAGCCCAAGCTCTACTTCAAGGAGATGCTTTCAGAATTGAGGCCCTACATTTAAATGCAAAGCTTTGACAGTTTAGGGTTTGTTTTCTGTTTACATTGCCAATACAGACTGCCATCCATCAAATCCAGTTTAAATGCCTGCCCGCGTTGCCCAAGCCCTCCTCGCAGGGCAATAACCAGCGCTCTGGCAGCCCCAAAATTCGTCAGGAGCCTCGCAGATCGGTTATTGATGCAAAAAGCCACCGACAGACAGGCTCCAGCTGAGCAGGTACTGACCTACTTGGGGCTGTGAGTCAGCTTAAAAACCTCGGCGCACCCCTGAGCCTGGAAACGAGAAGAGAAACGCTGCCCCATCAAACTTCCGGGGGGGGACCCGCTGCCAGACGGGCTGAACCCCACCGGGAGCCCCGGGGAGGGTGCCTGCAGCCGCCCAGCGGGTCCCGGCTGTACGGGGGAGAGGCGGGGGGAGGGCGGCGGCACAGCACGGCGGCCCCCCCGGTCCAAGCTCAAAGGGGACATCGCACACCCCCTCCACCGCGGGTACTGGCTGCAAGGAGGTCACCGCACAGCCCCCAGCCCCGCTGTAAGGGGACATCCCACCGCCGCCCCCTCCCCGCCGCTA